TGTAAGGGTACGGCATGATATTCAGGGGCAACTGCAGCTGCTGTCTAATTAACATGCATAATTTCTTCAGAAAATAAATAAATAAATAAATAAATAAATAAATAAATAAATAAATAAATAAATAAAAGGAGTTTCAGGTCTTACACAAGTGCTGCTGGGGGAAACCATACCAAGTGCTGCTGAGGGGAACCATACCAAGCAAGTGCTGTTGGGGGAAACCATACCAGGGTGTGTGATTGCATACCAAGTGCTGCTGAGGGGAACCATACGAAGCAAGTGCTGCTGGGGGAAACCATACCAGGGTGTGTGATTGCACGGCTGAGGAAACCACTCAGTCACTTAATTATTTATTTATTTATTTTTAATGATTGCTATCTATRGGAGYGAATAGTTCACTTGTAAAGGTTGCTGCACCTCCCCTAAAATACAGTCAATTTTCCCAAAATCCCGAGTGGGTGGGGCARCATGGAGCAAGGACTCGATCTGCAGACTTGATGTAATTCTTTCATTTCTAGTTGACTTTCGACCAATTACTCTCGCGGCTCAACATACAGTAAAAGTTTTCAAAATCACTCTTCGAGTGAGAGMGTGACAGTACAGCGGGRAGAGAGAGAGAGAGAGAGGGATTGCAAGTTCACGCAGAGAGAGGGGGATTGGGACTGAGTAAGACAGGGCGAGAGAGAGAGAGGGATAGCAGGTCCACGCAGAGAGAGGGGGACTGGAACTGAGTTAGACAGAGAGAGAGAGAGAGAGAGAGAGAGAGAGAGAGAGAGAGAGAGAGAGAGAGAGAGGGATTGCAAGTTCACGCAGAGAGAGGGGTATTGGGACTGAGTAAGACAGGGAGAGAGAGAGAGAGAGAGAGAGAGAGAGAGAGGGATTGCAAGTTCACGCAGAGAGAGGGGAACTGGGACTGAGACAGACAGAGGCAGAGAGAGGGAGAGAGAGTGCCAGTTTTAACTTTGCTACTCTTTTATTTATTTATTATTCTTACTTATTTCTTTAATCTTATTTAAATATTTAGTAATCTATCATACTCTCCCTAATTGCTGAAGAGCGCTGTATGACGACGGGGCTCGACGGATCTTGATCTTGATTGGCCCCCTTTCGCCCTACTAGTCGCCGAGGACCTCGGAGCGGGCGCGGCGAAGTGACAGGCGCCGTAGCCCATGGCTTCAGCGAACGGTAGGTAGCCCCTCCCCGGGTTTCCTCACACCGGGCGGCTGCGAGTCTGTCCCCTTCATTGGCAGACAGTGCCAGACACGACCTCGCTAGATTGGTCGGTCGACGATGCCGCCGCGACCACGACCACTTTCGACCGATGTTGGTCTCCGCTCAGGCCTACCGCAGACGAACGCCGGTTCTTAGCCTCCTTGTTCGTGACAATGATTTGCACGACCTTGTCAAAGAGCTCCGTCGTTGTCGTCAGGGTGTCCTTGACGTGAGTCAAGGCATTGCCCAACGCCGGACACGACCTCGAGATGAAGTAGTGTTTGACGGCCTTGAAGCCCAATGGAAGCTCTGGGACGGATGTCAAGTGTTGGTACTCGGCAATCCAGTCAACGCTCGGCGGCGTGCCTTGTTCGAAGGCCATCAGCTTGTTCATTGCCTTGATATCCGGTGGCTCTACTTGGAACCGCTTATGCCACACCGCCTTTAGATCATCCCAATTGATCTTGGTGTGCAAGTCGGCAGCTACCACTCTGTACTTGGACAATAGATTGTCCAACCATGCTTGGCACGCGCCTCCCGACCGGGAGTATAAGTACGCGTGATGCTTGTATTCTCGGACGTGGTGGAGCTGCAACGTGAGCTCGAACTTGCGGAACCATGGAATCGGGTCCGTCTTCGTCGAGTCGCAGAAGATCTCCTGCCCATCGAACTTTGGAGTTGTCTCGCGCGGTTCCGACCTCGAGTGGGTGGCGGCAGTACAGATCTGCTGCTCCAACTGTTGTGTTGCAGTTTGCTGTAGCTGCACGCCGTCCTTGAGGGATCCGACGTCCATCTCCAATGCTTCAAGGCGATCGGACTTGGAGGTGTTGGAGGAACTGGCAACGGGGGCGGCGACGGTTTGTTCTAGCTGCTGGAGGCGGCTGTTGAGGTGATCCAACGCCCGTTTGTGATTCTAAACCACACTGTCGAGGCTGTGGATGTCCTCCTGTTGTGCAATGCACGTGGTCAGGAGGTCCGTGAGATGGGAGAGAAGTAGAGCGATCTTGTTTTCACTCTCCTCCATCTTGCCATTCTCGGCCTCGGTCCGCCAGTCCTCTGCCATTGTGAGCAAGGCTCACTCTCTACCGAATATCTTCTCGCGTCGTTGAATTTGTTCTTCATCGACAGCCTTTGCTGCTGCCTCGTCTTGTTGGCGCTGTTGTTTGATTGCCAACAGACGTGCCTTCTCGGCGTCCTCTGCCTTGTTCTTCGCTGCGGCTGCTAAATCATCCGCCTGTCGCTTGGTTTCGGTACTCTGCCTTGTTCTTCATTGCGGCTGCTACATCATCCGCCTGTCTCTTGGTTTCGGTACTCCAGGCCAGCATCCGGACGTGATAGGCCTCGTCTGTTTCCCCGGACTTTTGGTCCATGACGGCTGTTTGCGAGCGTGTGAGCATAAACCAGGCCGGAGAACTGCTGACGTGGCACTCCCTGCTGCTGACGTGACAATGTTCGCTGCTGTGTCCTGCTGACATGGTCTGCTGACGTGGCAACTTACCAATGCCATCGTAGGGGGTACCCAGAGACTGATAGAGAAGGTAAGACCAGAGGGGGCAACAACATAGGTGGGGAGGGGTGGGTGGGATAATCGCCCAGATAAGGAGCCACTAATAAAAAAAAAAAAAAGTTCGAACTTTGCAAAAAGATTCGAGAAAAAGGAAAAAATATTCGTTTGCAAGTGCGGTAGGCTTCCCAATTCCCCCTGAAGTGCGAAATTACCAATGAGAAAAATTTCGAACTTTCAGACTGCAAATGATTATAGAACTCTGAATAAAAGAATTCCGAAAAAAACAAAATATTCGGAATTCTTGTTAGAGTACACGCAGTTTGGAGAATGATAAGTGCAAGAGGGATTTCCCGTACCGTTTTCAAATCTCGAAAACCGGATTTCAGAAAATAAAACTATTCCGGATTTCAACATAACGGAAAATTGCAAAAGGAAATCGAAATTAAAAAAAAAAAAGATATTTCGGATATAAACAACGAAATTTTGAATTTTCAGAAGAAAAACGAAACCGAAAATTTAAGGTGTTGCGCTATTGCGATTTTCCACAACAGAGATAGCGGGAAAATAAAATCCAAGAATTTTTTTCTTTTTCAATTTTTTGCAGTGAGGTCAAAATTGTGATTTTGGGGGCTAACTAGTGTGCTCTAATCAATCAATCAAGAGTAATCACCTACGTAGTCCTATGTAACCGTTTGAACGTGCGGAACGCGCCGCGTTCATACGCGTTCAAACGCGCTGTGCGCCACGTGGCGCGAATCTGTCGAACGCGACCGACCCTGCCATATGAGCGCATGGCGGACTACGGGTGGGGGGAATTGGATTTTCAAAAAAAAAAAAAGTCAAAAAAAGTGTGGCAGTATATATCTTCATGTACTAGCAGTAGATTCATTCGATTTTGCTCATCACCGTCATCAGATCGATAGAAGTACCATGAGTTCTGGCGCGCTGTTGGAGACTTACCTGCTCTCCTCCCTCTCTCTCTCTCTCTCTCTCTCTCTCACACACACACACACACACACACACACACACACACACACACACACACACACACACACACACACA